GGAGATGTTCTGAGTTTCCCATTTTCCTAAGGACATTCATCACTTTAGCATGACGAACACAATTGAAGGCCTTTCTATAATCAATGAAGCACATATTTACTTCTTTTTAGTACTGTTTGGCTTTCTCAATTATCTGTTCTGCATCCATGGTACTGTTTCTTGTTCCTCAGCCTTTTTAAAACCAGCTTGAACATCTGACATCTCTGTTTCCATGCAGGGTTCTAAAGTGCATTGGATAATCCTAAGCATCATTTTGCTGACATGTGAAATTAAGGTTATTGTGTGATAGTTTCCATGCTCTGTTAAGTCTCTTTTCTTTGCTATTGGAATGTAGGCTGATCTCTTCCAATCTGGTGGCCAATGTTATCCTCCAGATTTGCTGAGCAGTTTGTGTTCTTCTCACACTCAGCCCCTAGCCATGTCATTGTTGTTATAACTGAGCTCTTCCACCTCCTTGCACCAGTAATATAATCAGTTTGATTTCTGAATATTCCATCTGGTGATGTTCATGTATACAACATCATTTTGGTTATTTGAAGACCGAGTTAGCAAAGAAGAAATAATTGGATTTGCAGGAACTAAAAAGTTGCTTCATTTCCATACAGTCTAATTATGTTTTCCTCCTTACTATTTCCAATTTTGGAATTCCACATTTTGCTTTCATGCTGTATTGATTTCAGATTGAACTTGATCATAATACATATCAACCTCTTCCTTTTCTTCTGCATTAGTGGCTGAAGCATAAACTAAGATACTGCCATATTAAATGGTTGTTCACAGTAAAATTTGGTATTGCTAATGGTATTATTTGGTCATTGACTGCATTATACCCAGGCGCTGTCTTTGCTACAGTATATATTCTTTCTGACTATGAATGCAGTACCTTTATTCATAACTATAACATCCTTCCCCATTGTTATAGTTTCAAGAACACACAACACATCTACTTTGCTTTCATTCATTTTATTTGTTAATTCATGCACTTTGCTGTTGGCTTACCTTACATTCCAAGTTGTAAATTTTCCATATGACAGGACCATCATCAAATTGATCCATAGATATTAATTTCCATTCCCATCATGGCTTTGGTTAATCAAGGTTCTAACATTATACTTTTTAATAAAGTAAAGAAGGTATAGGCTTCGTTATTTTGGAAAAGTAGAGACTACAATGAGGGGTAGGGACATAATGAACATTAAAAAAAAAGTGGAAAAAAAAGAGTAGCTGTATATAGAAACTTTCTAGGATGGAAATGGCTACTGTATCTCTAAGAATGTACTTCTACCCACTTTCCAACCTTTCCCAACCTGAAGCCCTCCTGACATTCCTGTTATTCTTAACATAGCCTGAATCTCTGTGCTGTTAATTATGGTAATTGAAGTCCAATACATTCTGGAAGTATAGGCTAGGGATAGGTGCTTTAATCCGTAATTGACAAATATATAGAATATAGTACCAAGTAACTTTGAGGCTAAGAACTGTCAGCAGACATCACAAGCTACTCAGCACAGTTAATTTGTTGCCTCAGATAGGAACACTTGATTGGCACCCAATCAATATGGAACCCAAAGTTGGATTTTGAAGAGGCAGAAGAGAAAGAATATTGATGCTTTTGAACATTGAGCTTGTATAAGACTCCTAATAATATCACAGACAGCCAAGAAAACAAACAAATGGATGATACAACAAATCAAACCAGAGTTCTCTCTCAAGGCTCAAATTATATTTTGGACACATTATGAAAAGACCTAGCTCTATGGAGAAGTCTACAATGCTGGGAAAGGTGGAAGAAAAGAGAAGAAAAGGATAACAAGCAGCAAGTAGATAGACTCATGGTGACAATGGGTGTACTGTTGGAGGATGTGAAGCATCAAGTTGGAGAAAATCATCCTGGAGAATTTCCATCTATGTGGCTGCTAAGAGTTAACACTATTTTATGGCAGATAATCAGTTAATCAATAATCAGGATGTTACAGGCATATATGAAAGTAGGAATCTATAGAATGATGATAGTTGCATTTGTGCTATAGTGAATTGTAATGATAAAAGAACTATATATGAGTTTGCGGGGGGGAACTGTTCAGTGCTGTGAATGAATAAGATCCAAGAGAAAAACATTATGCTAGTTGACATGAAAGATCAGTGGGACCTAGAGAAGAGAGTTTTAAAAAACCCTGGGCTATTCAGAGACCCAAGAATGAATTAGAATGATGATAATCATCCTTTGGTGATTATCTGTTTAGAAAAATATATATTTGTTTGAAATGCATGGTTTAAGAAGAGGTCTATGTTATGTACACATGGCAAAGGAATAAATATAAATGTAATGCATGATGATTTGATAGTTTATGATGAAATACTGAAAGAATTAGTGAATGATGCAAAGGTGATAAGAGGTTCTCAATGTTGGACAGACCATTTCTTGATAGCATCATGAATGGATCTTAGTTAAAATGGACATGGAAGAAAAAGCAAGTGAATAATCTATCCAACATATCCAAGTTATGAATAAGAGTGTCCAAGTTATGAATAATACACTTCAAGGACAAACAGGATGGCCATTGTGCCTTTTTTGGTCCTTCTCCAAGGGCGTATTCGGCCATTGTTTCAGCTGACCAGGAGTGAAAATGTGATCTTTTACTCTATCAGTACTGTCCAGCATGGCCAGTAGTCAAAGATCTTGGAGCTATAGCCCAACAATATTTGGCAGTTTTTCCAGATAGAACTTCTGTTAAGAATTTTATGTAGCATCCTTAGTAATCATAATAATCAGTTGCATTTCCACAAAGAATGGTTTACTGTGGGGAGTAGGATTATTATACAATTGTGAATTTTTAGAAGATATTAATCACAGCAGGCGTTTTAAGTAATTTGAAGAGATGTGGTAAATCGTACAAAATATATAGAAGCTGGGAAGATGGGGGAAGAAATTGAAAAGAAAATATGAAGTAGGTGTATCTATGAAATTTGTTGATTTTCATAGGGCTTACAATCCTGACAATCTTAAGAAAGGACAATAGTTTTATAAAGCTAAATAAATGCTACTGCAAATTCAAAAACACTGAATTATATAATGATATTATGTAGCCACTGTGTTACTGAGGGCAGGGGCTAACATTATGGATATGCCTATATTATAATTTAGTACCATGCATCTTACTAAACTCAATTAAAGTTGCTATGGCAGCCCAGAAGAATACCTGGAAAATTTGCTTCAGGCTTACAGTTACAGTATGTTGCTGTAATTCACATGCCATTTCAATTGCAACATCAAATGCAAATAAATAATATTTGAAGTCATAAGCTTATTGATGTTTCAAAGGCTTATCTGAACTGAGTTTTTCCTTCTAAGAGCTCCATTAATTATGTGGGGAGGTGTGTAGTAGATCATATCTTCAAATTCAACTATTTAGAAATGCACAGCAAAGTCTGTCCTTAACTGAACTTCACACATTTTGATGGAAAGTGTTCATATGCATGTACTTCCATCAAGTAGATAGTCATCTGCTGAAATTACTTTAACTATAATCCCGAGCATTTTCTGAGCTTTTCATCAACATGGTCTTTCTCGTGGCATATTGGTTATAACATTTTCTTGACATGCACAAATGTCTTTTTAATTACTGTTTTTCTTTTCTTAAGCTGTTTGCTTTTCTTCTGGGCTTTTTTCCCCAAAAAGTCCACCAGTGTACCTTTTCATCTTTTTTCCAGTCATTTGAGGTAGAAGGATTTCACCTCCAGCTTCCAAATAGCTGTTAGACTAACCCTAACCCATTGGGATATGTCACTGAGAAAGGTCTGTAATGGTGGCTGCAGCAGACCTTGGGGAAAAGAAAACTGGGAGGTCAGGGCAACAGGGAGATTGTCCAATGGAAGACCATAGTAATCTCCAGCCCAGACTGAATGCTGTGCAAGCTACTGCCAATCCATTGCTTTTCCAAAGGGTTTTTCTCAAGCTCAGGGCATGGGCATTTTAAGGAAGCAGCGTTCGTTCATCCTGTTATGCTGTGATTTGGAAGTCTGAACCATTTGCATATATTTTACATTTTAAAGGATTTGGTTTGTTCGGGTTTTTTGTTTTGCTCTTTGTTTTGCATTGCAAGGAAAATTATTTGATGATGAAATCTATTGTTGGATTTAAGGTTGACTTTTACTCAGCTATTAACATTGTATTCCAGTTAGATCTCTGGAACAGCAACAACAACCCAAAATCAAACAAAACAGAAACGCTCCTATTGTAAAGCAATCCAATAGCAATTTTAGAGCATGAAAGTCTTTTTAAAACTGATGAGTTAAGTTCTCTGTCCCTTCAAATCAGTGGTATTCAGATGTATTTAACTGATTTGTCTGGGAATTATGTCCAATTTCTTTGGTTTATCCCCCCCCCCAAAACAAACCCCACAATACACACGTTAGACAGCAATCTGGTGAATTCATGACAACTGGGAATTCATGAAACTCATTCATGGCAGCTGGGAAATTAAAGTTGAAACAATAGGTTATGCTTTTCCAGGCAGATCTTTGTGTGACCTCCATTTCATTGACATTTTGATGTTCAGTTGGGTGAAGAAGCCAGTCCAGCCAAAACAAAATTGCTATCACATATCTGTGAAGTAAAGATAGAAAGGAAATACTCCTATAATAGATAATGTTTTTAAGTATTTATCCTCGAAGGTCTCCACATACTGACTTTTGTCTGAACATTCCCTGTGCTGCACCTGAAATCTGTCATAGTCCATTTTAATTTACACTGATGTACAGAGAGATATTAAGGTAATTTGCAGTGACAGAAAAGAGGTTTATCAGTGAAAAGCACACTGGCAGACTTAAACAAAATCAAGAACAAACAGTCCTTTTCCAAGATGGCTTTTTAATTATTTCTTTACCATTATTAATAGTTCATCCTTAAAAATGTTACAAAATGTTGGTTCATACATCACTTCTGCTTGCCATAATAAAAGAATGAAATGCTTAACTTATTTATTTTTACTTTTTTACAGACCATGGGGAATTCTTATGCAGGGCAACTGAAATCTGCCCGTTTTGAAGAAGCCCTTCACAACTCCATAGAGGCCTCTCTCCGATGTAATAGCGTTGTTCCTCGCCCCATCTTTTCCCAGCTCTATCTTGATCCTGAGCAGCCTCCTATTTTGCCGGAAGGTAACCAAGCAAGTATGGCATATTCTAATTGTTCTTATGCTATGTAAAATGTTTATTTTTTTAAAAAAAATAACTTTAAAGAAGTATATTTTTCTACAGGTTTATGTGGTTGACTTTTTGAGCCAGTTTGGCCTAGTGGTTAAGGCTCCAGCCTAGAAACCAGGAGACCGTGAGTTCTAGTCCCGCCTTAGGCATGAAAGCCAGCTGGGTGACTTTGGGCCAGTCACTGTCTCTCAGCCCATGATGCCAGGCTCGGGTGACAAGCTGGTCGGTCAATTCCTGTCAGAACCAATGGATCAACGTTTGGTTGATCCGAAAAAAAAGCAGACCCTGCGCTTGCAGGAAAAATGCTAGGAAGAAAAAAAAACATGTTTGACTTTTTAAAAATCATACATTCCAGATGTGAAACCAAAAGTGGAAGAGCTGGACAAAGAATTGATGCATCGTTACACCTTGAATGGAAGCTTGGATTTTTCCACTAGCCAAACTATTAATGAAACAGAAGAAGATGAGGAGGATGAAGACATGTCTGATTCCAATAGTCCGCCAATCCCGTATGCACAAAAGCCTGCCCCAGAAGGATCTTGCACTACTGATGGTTGGTTTAAATCTTCCTTATCTAACACATCATGCAGAATCAGAGGTGTCCACGGGGAAGGGGGGAAGTTGTCAAATGATGAAAGCAGTTGTGCCTCTTTTGTATATACATTGTGATGTCACAGGCATATAGGAAAAGAGCAGAGTTTGCTTTATGATGGTGTCAGCTGCTTCTGTTATTTTAACAAAAGGATCAGATCCTGCAAAATACTATTTAGCCCAAAGTTAGAAAGAAAGAAATTAGACTAAAGATACATTTGGGATATGAATGTATAATCTTTCTTGTTTGTTACAACAAAATCTAAAAAAGTCATATAACTTCTTAAAGACAGTGCAAATCTCTGTTTCTAATTTGATGCTAGTCCTACTTGGTTCAGTGGAATATTTCCAGCTAAGTTGGTATAGGATAACAGCTTCACCTAATAAGCCTTATTTAATAAATCTTAAGGTTTTATAGTACTTTCCAACATTAAAATATCTAGTGCTCCATTATGGAGCATTTTTATTCTGTTTAAATGGGATTTGCTTGCATGCAAACTGAATGCAAGATTAAAATCTGAATCTGTTTGCAATGTTACTTGGGCAACAAGCAATATTGGAAACAGCTCCAATTGTTGTATTCTACAAGGGCATTTTAGAAAGTGTTCCAGGAAGAACAGGCAATTTAAATCATATATTTTAAAGATTAATAATAATTTTAGTTAACATGTTTAAGATGCAAAGTAATTTCAAACATTGTCCTTTATGAAAATTGTTTTCAGAATCTTCTAAAAATACAGAGTAAGTCAGGCAGTATTTCTCTTAGCCCAGAAATGAAAGATGGCTATGTATTTTTGGTACTATTCTAGTTAACTTTACAGTTAAAGTAAGAAATTAGGATTATATATTTGGATATAGTCTGGTTTGTCTTTCTGATGGCACCAGACTTAAAAATATTTTAACAAGTTGTATGGGGGAAATGTTTTGTTTCATTAAATAAATAAAGCAACTCCCCACCACCCAAATCTGAAAGCTTCCACATAAAGTACAATTCAGGTTGCAGAAAGTTCTAAAATGAAAGTACACCAGAAGAGAGATTTATTTACAGAGGTGAGATTCTTTAAAATTACTGTGGAGGTTGTTTTAGCCACCGAATGTATGCTTCTCTTTAGACTGGCTTCATTTTAAATTATACTTCACTTCTGTGACCTTTGTGCCTTCCTGCCCTTATTCTTCCTGCCAGAAGGTTGACAAATTATTTGCACTAGATTAAGATTGCAGTGTGAAACTGCTTACCTGGAAACAAATTTCACTGAATTTAGTGAGACTGAAATAAACATATACTGAATCATACATACAAATCATAGCAATTAGATTGGTGGGATCAAGGCAGTATGAAAGCTTGAAGTTATTGCTGTGGGAATTGTGAAAACCATGTTAAAACTGAATTTCAAATGGTGTTTTTTGCTAATGATGTACTGAATGTGTTCAGCAAAAATCTGTTTGATAAGGAACTGGTTAATATTATCCTCTCTTGATTGAGAACAGCAAGTATTATGCCTTGCGTTCCCATCCACCCAGCTCATCTGCCCTCTCTCAAACATCCTGCATTTTGTGTGGTGATATCTTGTTCCATTATACTCTGTATAATCCAGTACGACCAGTTGATTTTCCAGAAAAGACTGTAGTATTGGATTAAATGATTTTGACTTTAAAAACCTGGACTTCATGTAGAGACTGTAACTGAATAGCATATGATGTCCCTCTGGAGCTATTGGAGCAGAACCCATCAATTAGGTAGCAGGAGTGGCCCTACCATTGGACTGAATGTTATCTTGGATAACAGATGCTCAGCAACAGCATCAGTCTTCTGGCCTTTCCCCTCCATTGAAGAAGCAAGCTGTGTATTCTGGCAGCCTGCCTGGCAACCTTTGAATTAACTTATTGTCATCAGGTGCTGTGAATGCTGGCCTGTTTCCTGTGTGTTGAAGGAGAATCAACTGTCGACTTAATTATATTCTGTAGATGGAACAATGGGGTGGGAAAGCCCTCTTGTTTTTTGCTCTTGTAATATACACTCACCTCCTTCTACATGATTGGTTAGATAGAGAGGGAAACACTGGCTGGTACATGGATGTTCTCCCCAGTGGATTGCTGAAAAGATAACAGATAATATCATAACAATAATAGCATGGGTATCAGTTTTTGAGCTTTCAGGGAGTTGTAGCACAAATTACTTTTGCAGTTGGGTGTTGATGTATCTTTCTTATTTTAGTGCCCACGAGCATTCATTCAGTTCCTATGCTCTTTTTAGTCACCTATTTAATTATCAGTGACTTTAATAAAGCCTGTAGAGTATGCGTAAAATAAAAAAAATTATTTTAGTTTATGCATTGCTTCATTTATAAAATATATACAATCTCAAGAGTATTGTTTATTACTAATGATGTGGTTTGGTTGTTAAGGGCAATATGAGAGAGAGCCAGAGAGTTAAATTCTTAATTTTTCAAGCTCTGAGTTAGTCAGATACTTAATACCAGATCAGCTACTGTAAAAATACCAAGTGGAAATGACTGTGAACTGCATTTCTTATGTAAATCGTGGTAGGTAATTTCTTATGCAGAATCCTTATCTTAAAGTAGCACAAAAACAGGTCTGTACCTCACAAAGGAGATGTTAATTGTTACTGTTAAAGAAAAGGGGGGATGGGGGGGCAGAAACAGTTTTTTACTTTACACAGTTTCAGACCTTTTGTTTGTATTTTCACAGCTGTGTTGGCCAAACTCTTTTCTTCTTAGTGGCTTAAAAGATGACTCTAGAATGCAAAGATCAGTATTTCTGGAAAGCACAAAAATATCTTATTAACCATTTATTTATTTTTATCATTTTGCAAGGCATGGCTGTTTGAAGTAAACTCCTAGCACCTTTGATTGTGTAATATATAATTGCTTCTGTTGTTATATTTTATTGATTTCCAAAATCTTTCATTGTAGTTTGGTAACTCCTGAGAAGGTAACAGTCACATCTACAAATTGTATTGCATAAGTAAATTTGTGTCCTTGTAAACAAATGCTTCAGTGCTCCTTGCTGGAAGCAGGGATCATTAGTTAATGGAAAAGGATAGACCTCTTTGGATATGTGAAAGATGCTTCTTCACTCTGTGATTACTTTTTTTTTTATAATATTTTATTAAAGTTTTAAAATT